GTGTTCCCCATCCATCCCCTTCTCCCGGCTCTCCCCATCCCCCCCCACCTCCCCTTTCCCCGCTCCCCACCCGTGCCATGTCTGCGCTGTTCGCCGGGAAGGTGCTGCGGGCGAACCGCGAGCGGGACGAGCTGGACACGGAGCGGGAGCTGCGCGGGGCTCTGGACAACAAGGTGCTGCTGCTCTACTTCGGCTCGGGGCAGTGCCCGCGCTGCCAGCGCTTCTCCCCGCTGCTCAGGGACTTCTTCCAGCGCCTCACCGACGAGTTCTACGTGGAGCGCTCCTCGCAGCTCGGCCTGGTCTACGTGTCCCGCGACGAGACGGAGGAGCAGCAGAGCGCCTTCCTGCGCTCCATGCCCCGCCGCTGGCTCGCCCTGCCCTTCGGGGACACCTTCGCCAGGTACGCGGGACCCCGCGGGGATGGGGGGACACGCGGGGATGGGGGGGACACGCGCGGGTTGAGGGGGGAGGGAGGTGTGGGGTGTGAAGGGGAAAGCGGCACCCGCTGGGAGGGTTATTTGGGTGCGGCACGCGGGGGTAAAATGTGGTTTAATCCGGGTTGTAATGTCGTAGAAGGACATTGTATATAATATATGTAAAATGTGTATAATATAGGGCATATATAAATGAAATATATATATGCATATATATAACATATATGTAATATATCATATATACACATATATATAACATATATGTAATGTATTATATACATATCTATATAACGTATATGTAATATATTATATAAACAAATATATATATATAAAACATAAATGCAATATATATATATATACACATATATATATAACATATATGTAATGTATTATATAAACAAATATATATATAACATAAATGTAATATATCATATATACACATATATATAACATATATGTAATATATTATATACATATCTATATAACATATATGTAATATATTATATAAACAAATATATATATATAACATAAATGTAATATATATACACATATATATAACATATATGTAATATATTATATAAACACATATAAAAATAACATAAATGTAATATATTATATATACTCACATATATATAACATATATGTAATGTATTATATAAACAATTATATATATAACATAAATGTAATATATATACACACATATATAACATATATGTAATGTATTATATAAACAAATATAAAAATAACATAAATGTAATATATTATATATACTCACATATATATAACATATATGTAATGTATTATATAAACAATTATATATATAACATAAATGTAATATATATACACACATATATAACATATATGTAATATATTATATAAACACATATATGTAATATATTATATACACACATATATATATAACATATATGTAATATATTATATATAGATGTCCTATATGATATTACATGCAAATATAATATTAATGCCGTTATATGTCATATTGTAAATAAATATAATGTAATAATACATTACATATAAATATAATGTCATTATATATCATATTATATATAAATAAAATGCCATTATATATAATATAAAATATATATTATATGTGTCATTTATAATATTAAATGGAAATATAATAGTAATGTATTATATAGAAATATAATGCCATTATATATTGCATGTAATATAATGCCATTGTATATTATATAGAAATATCATGTCATTATATATCATTTCATACATATAAATATAATGGTATAGAAATATAATGTCTTTGTATATTATATATAAATATAATACCATTATATATCATATTATATACAAAGTCATTATATATTGCATATAAATATAATATCATTATATATTATGTATAAATATAATGTCATTATATATCATATTATATATAAACATAATGCCATTTTATATCTATTTTATATAAACCCATGTATTTAAATAGGACCCCCAAACCCAGGGAGGTTTAATTCAAAACACATAAATTATTCCTGCTGTTCCTGTCTCCCGATTTTCCCTTCTATTTTTAACCCCCAAACGTCACGGGCCGGGCCCCGGAGCCCCGGATTGGGAGCACTTACTGTAACCTCGTTAGCAGCAGAACGAGCCTAATTAACACCCTAATTAACACCCAGCGTAGTTCCCGCCTCCTTTGGAGGATAAACTGTGGGGGGGTTGGAATTTGGGGCCTCTTGTTGGTGTTTAATGGCTGGAAAAAACGGGACCTGGGAGCTGGATCCCATCTCCCATCACCCAAATCCCACCTCCCATCACCCAAATCCCATCCCCCAAATCCCATCACCCAAATCCCATCTCCCATCAAACCCTTCTCCAATCACCCAAATCCCATCTCCCATCAAATCCCATCCCCTGACACCCAAATCCCATCTCCCATCCCCCAAATCCTATTTCCCATCCCCCAAATCCCACCTCCCATTCCCCAAATCCCATCCCATCCCATCCCATCCCCATCTCCCATCCCCTCCCATCCTACCCCATCCCCATC